GGTATGAATACTTTTGCTGGCCTGTAAATGAGTGAAAACTGCAGAGTTCTGGCCATTAGATGTAGCTCATCTGTGTTGGGACATTCTTTTGAACAGTGGTTGCTTTGTTTCCCCGATGTTTAACTGGTCGCAGTCCAGCATATACAACATTGCTCTGTTTGTGCCGGGGTACCGGATCTTTGGGGTGAACCAGCCAGCATAGGAGCTTCAATTTTTTTTTTTTTGGGTTGTTTAGCTCTGATGAAGCTCTATCCGTCAGGGCTGGATGAAAAACTGGACGAGATCAGAGTTTCAATCACTTCAATATGAATTGCCCTTGTAAACATGCAAGTGAACAAAACTGCCCTTCTCTTATGCTACTTTGACCACCTTTGGTGTGGCATGTTGGACCTCCCATGGTCCAAATACATCGAGGCCAACATAAGAAACTGGGGGATCAGTCTTTAAGCATTCAGCAGGCAATTCTGCCATTATTGGCTGCTCTGTTTTGCCTCAAAGCTTCCTGCAGGTGACACATTTGTGGATTGTACTACTGATGGATCTCTTGGCACCAACTATCCATAATCCATTTGCTCTCACAGCCCCCTCAGTAAAGTGTCTTCCCTGGTGCTGTATGGCTTCATGGTGGTGTCGAATGAGCAGCATAGCAATGTGATGCTCTCCTGGTATTAGAATAGGGTTGGCTTTGTGACTTAGCAAGCTGGACTCTGCAAGTCTCCCTCCGACTCGCAATAAGTTTTTGTTATCAATCATTGGATTAAGTTTGTGAAGAGAACTGTTGTGTGCTATGTCTCGTTTTGTCATGATACATCTAATTTCTTCTGCATAGACTTTGTGCTGGATACAACTGATGATTGTGTGCTCTGCTTGGGATAAAGCTTCATCTGTGAGACTTGCCTTACAGATGTGCCAGCCGCTGCAACGGCTACCATTCTTGATTTTAAAACTGCGAGAAATGTGTTGAAGCTAAGCCACTGTTCTGACAAGGGAAGTCCATTTTGAGAATGTTCCAAAGTACGATGTACCCAAGGTAGCTGGAACAGTTGTGGTGGCAAGCACAGTTATGTCCTGTCGAATTTCAACATCGGACTCTGGATTGGCAAGTTCAAACGGACCGTTTTCTGAGGCGACACTTTCATGTTTGAGAAGAAATTCTGGGCCGTACAACCATGAAGTACTAGCAAGTTTCTATGCTGCTACAGAACAAGAGCCATGATCAGCAGGATTGTGCTCTGTTGGAACACATTTCTATTGTTCTGGTTGGGAAGACTGTTTAATTCTCTGTACACGATTGTTTACGTATACATGAAATCTTCTGTTTTGATTAAAGATGTATCACAATACCACTTTACTGTCAGTGTAAAATGTTGTCCTGTCAATCCTAACTTTCAATTCTTCCATGAGGAGTTCTGACATTTCCACAGCAAGCACTGCTGCGCAGAGCTCCAATCGAGGAATGGTGATCTCTGGTACAGATGCTAGATTTGCCTTACCTATGACAAATCCAACTGCATTGTGTCCATCTTGATGTGTAAACATCAGGGAAGTTACTGCAGAGATGGCTTTCACTGAAGCATCTGAAAACACACAGAGTTCAATGGAGGTGGCTTGTGAGATGTAAAACGTGACATAGGTATGAGGGATGTGCAGGTCTGTGAGACTTTGTTATTTGAGTCATGCCATCTTCTCCAGCTATCATACATGTCTTGTGGTAAGGGACAGTCCCACTCGAGGTTGCTGCTGGAAAGATCTCTGAGAAGAAGTCTACCTTTTATAGTTACAGGCGCAAGTACGCCAAGTAAACAACGACAGTAAACAAGCTGTTTACTGTCGAAAGTACGCGACGACGAGTGAAAGGCTTCTGCTCTTGGGGAACATGGAAGGTGAATGTATCTGATGTGGGATTCCAACTCACCCCCAAACTGCGTTGGACTGGAAGCTCGTCGGTTGTTATATCAAGATCTTTGATATCCTTGGCCCTATCTTCAGGTGGAAATGCCTTCACCACTTCCACCTTTTTGTGTGGAGACGCTGATTTGAGAGGGCAGGCATTTTCTGTGCTCTCTGTAGGACATCAATAGCCTCCGCTTCGGTTGGGAAAGACTTCATCATCAACATAAAAGCCTTGCTCTATGAAGTTTCGGGCATCAGTTCCATATTCACTTTCTGCCTCCCTTGCTGCTGTTCCCAGCCCATAGATTGCCACTGCTGGGGAGGGACTGTTACCGAAGACATGCACTCTCATTCGATAGTAAACTACATCTTTTGTAAGGTCGTTGTCTTCTGACCACAGAAACCAAAGGTAATCTCTGTGCTCTTCCTTGACTACAGGTGCTGGTCATAAAATTAGAATATCATGAAAAAGTAGATTTATTTCAGTAATTCCATTTAAAAAGTGAAACTTGTGTATTTTATTCATACATTACATACAAACTCATATATTTCAAATGTTTATTTCGTTTAATTTTGATGATTACAAATGACAACAAATGAAAATCTCAAATTCAGCATATCAGAAAATTAGAATATTACTGAAGACCAATAAAAACAAAGGATTTATAGAAATGTTGGCCAACTGAAAAGTATGAACATGAAAAGTATGAGCATGTACAGCACTCAGTATTTAGTTGGGGCTCCTTTGGCCTGTATTACTGCAGCAATGCGGCGTGGCATGGAGTCGATCAGTCTGTGGCACTGCTCAGGTGTTATGATAGCCCAGGTTGCTCTAATAGTGGCTTTTAGCTCTTCTGAATTGTTGGGTCTGGTGTATTGCATCTTCTTCTTCACAATACCCCATAGATTTTCTATGGGGTTAAGGTCAGGAGAGTTTGCTGGCCAATTAAGAACAGGGATACCATGGTCCTTCAACCAGGTACTGGTAGCTTTGGCACTGTGTGCAGGTGCCAAGTCCTGTTGGAAAATGAAATCTGCATCTCCAAAAAGTTGGTCAGCAGCAGGAAGCATGAAGTGCTCTAAAACTTCCTGGTATGTGGCTGCGTTGACCCTGGACCTCAGAAAACACAATGGACCAACACCAGCAGATGACATGGCACCCCAAACCATCACTGACTGTGGAAACTTTACACTGGACTTCAAGCAACGTGGATGAAGTGCCTCTCTTCTTTTCCTCCAGACTCTG